AGTAGACATGACACATTGCCTAGTAGGCCACTATCTAACGAGTTAGACTATCAGAGGTAATTGTTAACGTGATAATTATTGGAGACCCGGCATCCTACTGAAGAGGATTGACTTCAGTGGCCGTAGTATCTTCCTCTTCTGACTGAGGAGATTGGGCTTGGTCCGATTGCTCTGGAGAGGGTTGGGCTTGGACCGATTGCTCAGGTTGATCCTGCCTACTTTGTTCTTCAGCTTTGATCCTGGCAATGATTTTTTGAGCCTGCTCGCCTTGAGAGATTAGTTGTCTCCAAGAACGGCATTCTGCAACTCCTATTCGGGCTAGGAGGTCGGTTTGCAAGTTGTGTCGACAGGTCTCTACTAAGGTAGACTGTGTCATACCTGACGAACATCGGAGAGCCATGGTTCGGAACCTTTTGACGAAGGCTTTGATGGACTCCCTCTTCTTCTGCTTAGTGGCGAGAAGGGTATGAATGGAGACTTCTGTATCCTCTTCAAAGAATCTTGATAGGAAGAGTCTCTCTAGATCTGTCCACTTTTGGATACATCCCACGGGAAGTTTCCTGAACCATTCAAAGGCAACTCCCTTGAGGGTGCCAATGAACAATCGAGCCAGAATGGCATCGTTTGATATCACATTCCCAGTCTGTGACTTAAAATGATAGATATGTTGGTTCGGTGATCCCATGCCGTCAAAAGTTTGTAGCGTCGGGACCTCGAACTTTGGAGGATAAGGGGCTGCATCCCATTCGGCAGGATAGGGCCTGATAACTCCCTCATCTTGGAGCTCGCTTCTGTTAGCAATGACATTGAGGCGGGCTTCCAATTCTTCCATTTTGGCAGACTGAAGATTCTGCTCATTCTCAGTCTCTCTTCCTTCATCAGAGGAAGATTCCAGGCTGTGGGCTTCTTGGTCAGAAGCCGCATCATCAACCACTTTTCCCTTCCCTTTGCTTGTATGAGGTCGGGATGAAGACGCTTTTCCTCTCCGGGAAGATTCTTGCCTAAGCGGCGAATCTGTCTCCTGAGATTTGGCCTTGTCTGCGACGATTTGAGTCAACATGGCCATGAGTTCATTGATGGCCTCCTGCTGAGATTTGAGCATGGCTTCCTGTTCATCAAGTCTCTTTGAAAGGTCTTCCGAATGTTCTGCCATGTGGACGAAGCTCTCATGCCCAACGAAAGAGCTTGATGATTGGGACTCCGCAATGGCTGAGTGTTCGTCATCGGAATTAGTTCCTCTGGCTAAACTCTGATAGTTGATAGGAGGAATGGCTCCTGTTCGAGTCCGAGTACGTTGGTAGATTCCTTCAAACTCGTTAGTGATTTCTCTGACGCTTGGAGAATGATCTGTCTCTGACCCGTCGGAACTAAGGGTCATTGGTTGCCTGTCTATAATTGCCTATTTTTCTTTTATTTTAGTTTTTCTTTTGCTTTGTTTCTTAATTCAAAAAAAACAAAATAGGGAAATGATTTCCTGATGATGACATGAATGCTTAACCTTTATCGATCATTGAACTAGATAGATGCTCATTAATTGGGACTTAACAACTTCTTATACCATCTTTCAGCTGATTCTCAAAGGTTTTTGATTACAAGTTAACAATATGGGAGAACCAGACTTGAATGTTCTCTTGTCTTATAGGTTTTAGCGTTTATGTGGCTAGCATCATAACCATTACTCTATTGAGACAAGAGGGGAATTAAATTTGGTAGACAAATAAAACCCGTGAGATTTTGAGCCTGAAATTGGATGCATTGCATATCCAATCATTATTTTCTTTGCTTGTGTGATATTCTCCAATGGTGTAGGATACTAGAACTTGCATTGAATCTCTTCAAGGCCACATATAACTTTTGTATGCATAAAAGGTGATTGAGGCACATTTTTGTTTATAGTCCACATTTGCCAAATAGCCTACCATGCACAATTGTTTCCTTTGATTAGCCCTCTTGAGCTTATGAGCCTAATTTTTTGTTGATTAAACCCACATATGTAACCTTCAAAATCCGATTTTATTCCTTACCCATTGCCTAAGCTAGTGGAGCACATTTTATGATACAATGGGTTATGTGAGTAATGTGGTGTAAGCTTGGGGGTGTGAAAGTAGGCGTTTGCTTCCTTTTCATAATTCTATCCAAAAAAGAGAAAAAAAACTAATTCGAAAAAAAAAAGATGAATAAAATGTCATCTTTATGGTGTATGTAATTGCGGGTGTCGATGTTTGTTGGAAATTTGTAGTAAAAAGACAATGAAAGAAAATTTGACTTGTATTCCTCTCAAAATCAATTACAATTTGGATTCCGATTACAAAAGAGAGGAGAATGAATTTGATTCTCCCCTTTGTTTAATTCTGGGTTCTTCACGGTGGCGATGAGATGCCTCCCTCGAATGCTCGCGTCGAGTTTGCTTCTCGTTGACGATCCGAACGTCTTGATTCACTGGAACGATGTCTTCTCCTCACGATTTGACGCTGTGGAGAACTTGCGTGGCAAGTTTGAAGATAACTCTTGACGAGTTGATAACTCTGAACGAGTTTTAGAAGAACTTGCAGAGCAAGTTTTGAACTCTGATCGAGTTGATAACTCTGACGAGTTTTAGAAGAACTTGCAGAGCAAGTTTTGAACTCTGATCGAGTTGATAACTCTGAACGAGTTTGAACTCTTGAAAAAGAGTTGATTTGAACCGAAAGTCGGTTATAAGCCAAGGGAATGCTCCTGTGGTCGATCGTTGCTGAGGATGAACGTCGATCGCCCCCTTGCTGCCCAAAAAGAAGGATCCCAGAGCCCAGAGCCAAAAGCCAGCCAAAAAGGAGCGCCCGAACTCAGTTGAGTTTCCCACTATTTATAGGGGGTTTAGGGGTGGCAACTGCCCCCTTAATTAGCTCCTCCATGGGCTGAGTGGGGTGTAACCACCCCCTCTTAAACAGCTCCCGAAATAGTGGGGAAAACGGTTTTGAAACCGTTCTGTTAGTGCTTTGAACGAGTCAAAACGCTGAAAACAGCGTTCTGGGCCTTAACTCTGCGTCTTATTGATGAGACGCAGAGTTGGGCGCTTGTTGGGAGTTGAAAACGCAAGGGCCGCTTGCGTTCGGACCTTAACTCTGCGTCTTAAAGATGAGACGCAGAGTTGGGCGCTCGCTGGGAGTCGAAACGCACAGGCCGCATGCGTTTTAGAGATGAACTCTGCGTTTTAGGCTAAAAACGCAGAGTTGGGCCTGTTTAAAGGCTGAAAACGCACAGTTGTGCTGTTTTAGAGATTAACTCTGCGTTTCTAGACTGAAAACGCAGAGTTGAGCCTGTTTAAAGGCTGAAAATGCACAGTTGTGCTGTTTTAGAGATTAACTCTGCGTTTCTAGACTGAAAACGCAGAGTTGAGCCTGTTTAAAGGCTGAAAATGCACAGTTGTGCTGTTTTAGAGATTAACTCTGCGTTTCTAGACTGAAAACGCAGAGTTGAGCCTGTTTAAAGGCTGAAAATGCACAGTTGTGCTGTTTTAGAGATTAACTCTGCGTTTTGATGTTGAAAACGCAGAGTTGAGCATGTGCGCTTTGACTCTGTAATGCAGAGGCGAACCTTAGGCGGGCTTGGCGAGCTTCAGGCTAAGTCCAATGTTCTGACGAAGTCCAGTCTTGCAGACGGACTTCAGAACATAACTTGCTACGAAGAACATGTCATAACTTTCAAACCGTACGTCGGAATTGGACGAATTATATATAAAAATCGGCTATCTCGACGAGACGGGGTCATCCGAACCAAGCCAAAGGCTTTGGTTCGCTTCCTCCGTTTCGCCAAATTCCTTACGGTTTGAGAGATATCTGCATTCTAATATGAAGAGACCGTCAATTTGTAGTCTTTTTTGCTAGAGCGTTGCAAAGATCGTCACCTTGTAATCTTCATCTTGGCTCCTTGAAAATATAAGAGTCGTCAGATTGTAACTCCCGATGTTGATTGTGAATGCTGTTGAACTAGAGCTCTCATCGGTTGTCGTGAAGGTCGTCAGATTGTAAATTTCAGCGATCTACGTGAAAGTCTTCAAATTATAGCCTTCTGGAAGTCGTCAGATTGTAACTTCCATCATCGGTGTTTGATGGGGGATAAGCTATCTATTATGATTTTTAGACAGCCTACACTCAAGCCAACCTCTATGTTCCTATTTCGCGAAGGAAACAAAAACAGAAGTAAAATATCTCAACAAAGTGAGATATACACTCTTCCTCTTATCAGTTCTAGGGCTGACTTGTTGAGAAAACCTACAAGCAATAGCTAACACCCAGAAAAACAGTAAAGACACGAGATTTACGTAGTTTGGTAAACTTGCCTACGTCCACGGGAGGGGTGGGGGAAGATTCCACTACGAGGAGAATAGCGACGACTTGTACAACCACAAGCTTGTCCCAAAGAAGAAGCTTTAATTTTTACCCAAAAATAAATTGGTCTCTCTCTTGTAAAATCTCTCCAAGCTCTCTATTTTTCTCTCCTCAAGATCTCAGATCTAAGCCTCCTGAAAACTCCTCAAAACAACCAACTAAACCATCTGTTTTCACCTCACGCACAAAACCCTAGAAGAGGCATCGGGTATATATATATATAGCCGAAACATTGCTCGTCAATTTGTTGAGGAAAAACCCGAACATGCCCAAATACCCACTGATGAAATAAAAACCTGCGAGTCAGGTGACTCACGCTCCTCGTGGGTCAACCTCCAGGAATCACGTGGGTGTGGCCTCCACGCGCCCCATGCGTTCACAAGATGGAAAATAATTCTTCAATATGTCTAAGTATAATTAGCTAGGGAACTATATTTTCTCTCCCTCAATTATTCTTGCTATGATTGTAGCCCTATCATATATGTCTCCCATCACATTTTTTTTTTTGGTCAATGAAAAATTTTATTTCACTCACCAAAGTGTAAACGTTTTTGTACATCAAGACTCTCAAAAACTGAGGTATCAAAAACTAAAACATGAATTTACAGGCTAGGGTATCAAAACTGCCTAATACTACTCCATAGAGAGGAGCCATTCACATGCTTCATCCGGCAATGAACTGTTAAGAGAAATAGTCCAAATATCAAGCTTAATGATTTTGATCAGCTGCTCAACACTTCTAGATTCCTTCTTGAAGATCCTAGCATTTCTTTCTCGCCAAATGTTGTATATTGTAGCCGTTAGCGCCAATCTTTTAATTTTTTGTTTGTTTCCTTTTCCCCTCATTCTGGAAATATACCAGTTCGTAAGCATATGCCAATCCGCTGATCTCCATTTGAACTTAAGCCACTCCATAATGCCATTCCAAACACAGTTTGAAAATTTACAGTCGAAGAATAAATGATCTCTGTTCTCCTCAACTGTACCTTCACACAAATAACACTGATTTGATTGGATGATCCCCTTCTTGTGTAATCTGTCCTGTGTAAGAAGTTTATTTTGAATAGCCAGCCACACAATGAAAGAATGTTTGGGATAGTTCAACTTTTCCCAAACAAAGTCGTGCCATTCCACCTTAGTACCTGGTTTAAGAGCATTGTACAGAGCAGATAGGTGGACTTTGGAGTTGACACAGCAAGAGTTAATTAGATTCTTCAAATTCTCAGCACCACCCAATAGATTCATAGCATAGTCTCTAATCTTGATTAATTGCTTCCACAACCAAGAGTCTCTAATCTTGATTAATTGTCTCCCATCACATTAATATATCTATTAAATACTTATTTCTTTTTTAAAAGGATAAATTTTTAAAACCATCCCATTTGAAACTTTATTTTCAAAAATCGACCTATTTATCTTTTATTTAGTATTTTGACCTGATTTTAATCAGCTAGTTGAAACTAGGTTAAAATACTAAATAAATTACGAAAACTTTACAGGATTTAAAATCCTGTGAACTTTAGTGCTTAATTAATCAGCGCTAAACAAAAATCCCTTGAAGTTTTCGTAACTTTTTATTTAGAGTTTTCATAATCTATTTAGCATTTTCGACCTAGTTTCAGCTAGCTAACTGAAATTAGGTCGAAAATGTTAAATAAATTTTATATATATAGATCGATTTTTAAAAATAAATCTCAAATAGAGTTGGTCTTTAAATTTTGTCCTTTTTTAAAACTCATCTCATTATCTTGATACCAATTTCCTATCACCATCTCTCAGATCAGTCCCTTACCTGAACTCTAACCCTAACTTCATTCTCTCCCCTATCACTGCCATTATCATTTGGTTTCTTTCTGTCACTTCGTGATCCCTATCATATCCTTATCTTTTAATCAACCCTATAACATCATCTCATCCTCAGTTGCGAAAACTATACCCCTAGCCACCATTTGCTCCACTCATTGTCCAATTATCACTATCATGATATCATCAAAAGCATAACTGCACATAAGATCATATCATCTTCAAAGGGTTTATTAGGGTTTATATAATTTTAAAATATGATTAATTATTAATTAGGATATATAGAGGCTGACTATTGCACACCTTCTCCTCAGAACGATCCTCATGGGAGCGGGTCGTCTGAGCCGCTCATGTGATAGGAAGGGGGCATTTTTGTCTCTTCATGCCCCCACACATGATGCTCAGATGCACGCTTGCATATAGGCCGATCTGAGGAGATGTGTGTTTGACGTTGATCTAGAATAATCAACATATATTGAAAATAATCCTTGTCATATTTGCGAGTTTAACTACAGAAAACCATATCTTGAACACCTATCTATCTAGCAATTCAATAAGTACTAAAGAAGATGAATTTCAAGAAACTATCATGAATTTTAGACTGTTATGTAAAAAAGTGACCATGAGCTTTTCTCACGTAACTAAAAAGCTTATGATAGTTTTCAGAAGAATGAAAGAAGCTTTTCGAGAGAAAAAGATATATAAGTTTATGGTAAATACAGGAGAAAGTCCAACCTTGTTCTATCTATACAATCATTTCAATGTTCAACTTGAAATATTCTTAAATTTTAGCCTGAAATTTTCATCATTGAATCCTTAATATTTCCAAACACGTAGATCATCACCTCATCCTAAGTGTGGAGTCTTGGGTAAATAAATGGGAAAAGAAAAAAAAAAGCATAAGAAAAATGAAAGTTCGTAGAGAAACTCATGATCCTCTTCATTGATTCGATCAACATCAACAGCAAGCTGGAGGTTCTCACATTAATTTGGATCATTCAACTCTTGGTTGTGAGTCTTAATCTTTGTTGAAACTTAAGGTTTGTTTGTATTTTGTCTTTTATTATTGATATGGTGGAAAGACTTCATAAGCTTAAAACGCGGCAAAACCATGCACGATGATTGTGGTTGTTTAATTTGTATTGTTTATTCCACATTAATAATTTGCATTCTATTATACTTTTTTCATTAATTTGGAACTTGAGTTCCTCTCTTTCGTTCTCAACCAAAAAAATATCAGAGAAAGGTGTACACAAGATGTTGAAGATTTGTTTCAAAAAGGATTTGATCACATTTTGTTTTCGAAAGAGATGAATAGTAACATAAGTAGAATGATTTAGTAGAAATTTGAAGTAGAATGGTTTAGAAGAAATTTGAAGTAGAATGATTTAGAAGAAATTTGAAAAAAAATATGAAAGTCGAAAATGGAGGATTTACTAAATTGTAAGCATATTTTGCACGTTTGGAAGGTGGTGAAAAAGTCAAAAGACAGCAAGCAATAAAGCATTCTTGATAAGAAAGTTTATATTTCTTTCTCTGAAATACAAGGGTTCTATTTAAGAATGTTTGAATGAGTTGCAAAGTGTGGTGTATCAACTCTCCTCAACTGAGATCATAATCTTGAAGGTAAGTTACAAGTGTTGTTATCGTTTAGTTTCTTGTCGAGAAGGTGGTAGATGTTGATGATTCCCCTAGCAACTCAGCTATATATGAATACTGTTGTCATAATGAGCTCGCTAACAAAAAATTTTTTTAGTAAAAGATCGAAAAGAATATATTTTGAATCTTCACATATATATAAATCATTATTTACTAAATGTAGAGAAAGATTAAGATTTAAAAAAGAAGACAGTTGTTCATTAGCTAAATGCAAAGTTAGGGCTGAAAAATACTACGTGCTATTATTGAAGACTGGGCACGTCAAGGGAAATTATTTAAGCCGAAGAATGAACTAAGAGGAGAAGATAAGTGAAGGAATGTCTAACTCCAAAGAACATACTATACTTGAAGGAGACATGTTCTTTTATCTAGCAAGGATTTAATTATCGAGTATCCAAAAAAT